TCTCAGGGAGGAGTGATAGGGAATGGCAAAGGACACACTGACAAAGGAGATTAATCAGAACTGACTTTGACAAGCACTGTGGCAATTGGACAATTAAAACAGACATTCCGATGGCGGGGGAAGAACAACAAACTGGGGAGGAGGGTAGAGAGAATGGTGCAGCAATGAAGGAATGAAAACCCAAAATCCCTGTAAATGTATGCATCAGCATTGTATTCTTTCTCCGCATCCATTCCGTCTATAAGGAAGTCTGGTGGCTTAATGCGAAGGCGTTGGCTGCCAACACAAGGGTATGCAGCTTAAATTCACTAGCTAGGTTCATGGTAGAAAGATGGACAATTTCCTCCCATGTGATCTATGACCTCTGAAAACTCGCTAATGTGTCAGCCAGCTATAGGTCAGTTTCAATTCAATGGTACACAACAACATTCAGTCTATACACTGAGTAATTATTCAAGAAACTAGACTATATGAAGAAGAATATGAGATTAGGAGAAAGATACACCAACATCTTGTGTTACACAGATGATACAACCTTTCTTGTTGAAAGTGAACACTTGAAGCACATACTGAAGAAAATTGAAAAAACTGCTGTCATATTAAATTATGGATTAAAGCATCAAGGAAGCAAAACATTCTCATAACTGGACCTAAAGGCAATATCATGACAGACGGGGGTAAAGTGTGAAATTGTCAATATTTTCATTTTATTTGGATCCATAATCAACACTCAATGTATCAGCAGTCAAGAAATCAAAATACACATTTTCCTTGGGACAATCTGCTATGAAGGACCTCTCCAATATGTTAAAAGAGCAAGAATATCAATCTAAAGCATGTCTAAAATAAGCCAAGGATATCAGTTAAAAGACTAAGGCATGCCAAATCAAAGCATTCTGTATTGCTTTTTATTGCATCTCAAAGTTAGAAAACAACTAAGACAGAAATACAAATGCCTTTGATCTTTAGTGTTGGTTAAGAGTATTGCAAATACCACAGACTGCCAAAAGGACTAATCTGTCTTGGTGGAAATACAGCCAGTGTATCCCTAAGAGGCAAGAATGGTAAAATTTCAGTGCACATACTTTGGGCACACTGTCAAGAGGGGCCAGTCCTTGGAAAAAGACATCATATTGTAAAGATAGTCAACAACAGAGGAAGACCCTCAACGAGATGGACTGAGAACAATGGGCTCAAACTTGGCAGAGATCATGAGAATGGGGCAGGACAGCGCAAGGTTTTAATCTGTGGTTCATAGGATCATTACAAGCTGTAGTTAAGTGGATGGCACCTAACAACAGTGGAAAAAACAGTGGGGGAAAGTAGGGTCCAGCTTTTACATTGTCCACTAAACCAGGTGAAACATTAACCTGCTTAGTCTAGTGATTTAAAATTAGGTGCAAGAATGAATTTGTAGTTTCTTAAATCTCTCTGCTAAAGCAACATGGTTAAAAAAAAGAGTAGCACTAAGGTTCAGATCAGTAGAAAATGAGAGAACAGGAGCAGCAAAGGTAGAATGCCCCACATACTTACTCAGCCTGGAGAGTTGTGCAGTATATACCACATAGCAGTGTGACAAGGAATTCATTTACTTGAATGCTCAATCAATGCCTATGGAGGCAGCAGTCAAGAAATTAAAGATGTATAAGCACTGGGCAAATACGCTGCAAACGATCTCTTTAAAATGTTAAAAAAGAAAAGGATGTCACTGTGAAGCATATGGTGTGCCTAATCCAAGCCACAGTATTTGTACTTACCTCATATACACACTGTTGTTATGTGTCATCAAATATGAATCCACTATGTCTTCATAGTTTCCTTCATATATGTGGAACAATGAATAAAGGGAGACCAAAGAAGAATTAGGAACTCTGGTGATAAAACATTTAGGTGCTAGCCATAAGGTCAATGGGTTGAACCTACCAGCTACTAAGTTTGTTTATAGCTTGTGAAACCCTCTGGGGTTCTGTCCTACAGGGCTGCTATGAGTTGGAATCAAAATGATGTCATTGAGTTTGTTTTTGAAAGAACTGATGCTTTGAATTATGACACTGATGAGTATAAAATAAGGAATACTGGATTATATCAGAGGAATAAACAAATCTCTTTGAAAAAGTACAACCACAACACTCCTTGGATGTGAGGATGGTTTGCCTCACATAATGTGGACATATTATCAGGAGAAACTGATCCCTGGAGAAGGTTATCATGCTTGTTAAAGCAAAAAGAAGACCTTCAATGACATGGCGTGACACAGGGCCTGCAACAATCGGCTAAAAAACAGTAATGATTGTTGAGGATGGCACAAGACATGACAGTATTTCTCTCTGTGAACACCGGGTCACTATGAATCAAAACCAACTTATTAACACCATCCAACAACTATTATGACTATTATTTATTATTCTTAATGATTATCTGATGTCATCATTAAAATTTTAATTATACTGAACATTACATAATGTGTATTAAAATTAGGAAAGTTCTAAAAAAAGAATTAATATAAAAGGCTTAACTGTTTACAAACTATCAAGCAATAATTATTTTAAAATTTTACCTGATTGGAAAATATCATTCCTAATAACACCAAATAACTAGATGGTAAGTGGTAAGTAGGCTTTATCAAGAATAAAGTTGATTCTAAGCTTCTCTACAATCTAAATAATCAAGCACAATAATAGAATCCAGTTCAAGTCTAGGTACTTATTATCATACTAAAAGGAGAACAGAAGCAAGCATCAATAATGTCCATATATAAACTTTATTTCATTTAACATCATACAAAAATTTAAACTTAAAGAAAATGAAAATATGCACCTTTTACAAGTCAAAGAAAAGCCAAAATCTTAGCATTTGAATTGATCTGCAAAAAACAAATACTTGGAGGTACAAACTGTGCTACAGCAGGTCTAAAAGAGGTGTACACAGTCATTTTTAAAAAGTTAAAACTGGTTTCAAGATTACTTTTTATATTTACATTTACAGGCACTGACCAATTTACAAATATTTACATAAATCAAAAGCAAAAACTTAATAAATGTAGCTTTCTTAGCAGCCACGAGTATGTGGAAAAGAAATACTAAAAAAGATATGTTTACAAACATTAAGCTTTTATGTATAATAATTTTGTCATCTTATTTAAAACATTTTGTAGTGCCTTGCAGCCTAAAAATTCCAGTTTAGATTATAATCCTATAATTGTACACAGAAAAAAAAAGAATCTGATACTATAAATAGGATATAATCTCAACTTCTGATCTTTCCATTTCTGTTGCTTCTTGTCACAGAAAAATAAAGCAGGAAAGCACAAGGTAAGCAAAAGTGTGCATTCCACTAAGCTATTATAAAGCACAGGGGACTTAACCTTTTCAGATTGAATACACTGATTCTTTAAAATAATTCACTAACTGCTGTGGGATACAGAGTTAGTGCTCATATTACAACAGTGCAAAATGTTTCAATGTTTCAACATAAAGTTTAAAGCAATCTCAAGAATACACCAAAAGCTTGTGAGGTATGAATGAAATGCTAATACAAAGAGATACTCAAAGCCTCAGTCTATCCCAATGAGTCAAGTGAAGACTTAAGGCAACTGTCCAGTATTGCAAGCTTCCACAGTGAAATGTAAAATGAAAATGAAAGATTTCTTTTTGCTTCAAGTAACTGAATAGCTGACTTGAATCTTTACTGGAACAGACTTAGACAAATTATCTATCATAGGTTACATTTTAAGAATCAGATCCTTTCCAAAATTCCACTGATCTCTTTAGTATTAGAATGTGGTACAACAAAATGAAGTTTTATCGAAACCTTTTATTTGTTCAGGTAATTCCCTCTAAAATATTTTATATGATCTTCTGATAACACATGTCATAATATTACCAATCATAAATGTAAACATTTTCAAAATACATTTTTAAATCAAAGTTTTATTAGGAAATGTCATAATAAAATATATAATCTTTATGTAAGCATGTCCTTTAAAAAATAAAACATGAAGACAAGAAGAATTTAAAAGAAGCCATGATAGAGGTAAACAAAATGCCATTATGTTACTATTGTTCTTTATTTCTCAGAATTTACTAAGAAACAGAGGCCAGTTATCTTTTCAGGTTAGCAGCTCTTAAAGGTAGTATACTGTTCAAATCTCTCTTGGATTTCAATCTGTGCCATGACT